TTTTTTTTTTGTCATTATCGTAGTAGAAACATAATCTATAACTCATTGTTTTAAAAATGTAGCCCATATCTTCAATGATGCTGTTAATACAAAGTCCTAGGTATTAATTTGAAGAATTCCTCGCCCCCCACCTTTTTCCTTCCCACTTTTCTGGCTTATTCTTACCCAACACAACTGGGACCATTTATTATGCTGAGCAGGAGGATTCCCTCATCCATCTCATCCTGCAAGTGCATTAACACAGCATTATAGAAATGGGTTTAATCATCAGAGAATTACACAACATTCAGCTAATGGATTACATATAGAAACCAAGGATCTTTCCCAAAATCTTTATCACTTAATAAATTGGCATCAGTTATGGTTTCTGAGGGACAGGGATCTCCTGTTTCTTGGCTCTACCCTGAACTGATTCTGTGATCTAGCTCTCTGGATCTTTTGCCAGGAACATCCTTAACTGTGTGTTAACTCGCTAGATGTTGGCAGTCAGCTGCTGGTCTATACATTTAAGAGGAAACTTAGTTCCTTGGCTTCTTTTTCACAGGAGCACCATTAATTCCTTCCTTTTGTGCCACCATCATTGTCTCTTCCTTCTAACGTAAGGGACCAAATAAAGAAGCAATAATAATAATCTGACAGATTCATGGAGGGAGGCTTTTCCATCTCACATTGTACTAGTCCACTGATTAGTAACAGTTCTAAAAAAAAAAATCCCACCAGTTATCCTGAGTTACTAGCTTTTAAAGGCTTTTGACATGTGACAAATATTTGAGTATTATACGCAAGGTGCTATGCTTGATGCCATGATAACTATAGACATGTCCTCTCCTTTCAAGAGTTTTCATATAGTCAGGAAAATGAAACATTAGCAGCTTGAAAGTGAAATACAATTGGTCAAATAACAATTCAATACAAGTGACATCCAAAGGGGAAACCTGATTGGTTGCCAAATTAGAAGAGAGACATGATATAGGACAAATTTTATAGATGTATTTATTATCTTCTAAATAATCTTTACCTGAATCCAAACACATGTGCTTCATTTTTTAGATTCAACTTACCAGTATATAAAAGGTTCTGCTGACATTAAATCCATCCAAGGAATTTTCCCTTGTGGACTTCAGTGTGTCACCATTTTAATTGGTGTCTATGACATACAGACAGGGGTGCCTCTGATGGGAGTCATCAATCAGCCTTTTGTGTCACAAGACCTAAACACCCTCAGGTAAAAGATGAACACTCACGGTATGTTACGGTTTTTAGAACTTATGACCTCAGCCTTGCTTATTGTCAGGATTATCACTCTACATGACATTCCCATGACTCGATAGGATGAGGTATTCCCACTAAAGTCTGCATGTTTGAATTAAAGTTCCTTCTATTCTCAATCGTGGATTTGGCGTAATTGTATTTGGGGCCAAGTGCATTCTGATAGAAACTTCAAAATAAATACTATTTTGGAGAAATTATAGTTTTACATTTAGAGCATAGCAATCCTGTTCCCTGTGTCATGAACCCACTCAAAACTGGATTAATACAGGTGATTAACACGATCTTCCAATACATTTGGAACAAGATAGATGTCATCACTGTCTAGCCAGTTGAATTTTTGTAAAATTTTAGAAGAAACTCAAAACCAAATATAAAAATTATCCAATGAAAAGACTGGTAAGTGTGGCCAGGAATAGAAAGTAACTGTGGGGTCTCTCTGCTTATAAATGCTGTCAGCATCACCTCTCTTTCTGCCTCCTCCCTCCCTACCCTTCCTGTGGACTCTTGAACAGAGCATGGAGGACAGCCAGGACACCATCTGCCTCTGATCCATGACCTGTGCTTTGAGCGTTGACTCCCGGGCATGGCAGAGTCCAAGTGGAAGTAGTAGCAGCTTCAGCTTTTTGCTTTGTTTTTTGGTTTTTTTGGTGGCTGGCCAGTTTGGGGATCTGAACGCTTGATGTTATAACACTATGCTCTAACCAACTGAGCAAACCAGCAAACCCCTAGTTTTTTACTGAAATAGGTCATATTTTTACAGAGGACTACAGGGCTGGCCAGTTTGGGGATCTGAACGCTTGATGTTATAACACTATGCTCTAACCAACTGAGCTAACCAGCCAACCCCTAGTTTTTTACTGAAATAGGTCATATTTTTACAGAGGACTACATATTTTTATTAAACTTTTAGTTGCTTCAGGTGAGTAAGTATTGTTTGCTCTTTAATAGTCACAAGTTTACACCTCTGGAATTTTGAAGTTTTTTCTTTACCCCTACCTTTTTCTAAACCAAAAATATGTTTGTCATCTTTAAAAGGTCATTAAGAAGTTAAAAAGAATTGGCACAGCATGCAGACAAAATCATGGCGTAGAGGTGGAGGTGGTCAAAGTCATTAGTGCCACAGATTCTGGAGTGACACTGCCTAGGTTTGAATGCAGATTCAACTCCCTGGGTGGGCCGCAGCGATTTATTTACTTTCTCTAGGCCTCTGTTTTCTCCTTTGTAAACAGAGGACATTGCCAACATCGATAGTAAGTTAAGCATTGATAAATGAATGTTCTGTTGCCAAAAATAACATTTTAAGTCCATCTTTCTTGGTGTTAGAAGACAAAGTGGAACTAGTGAATAAGAATGAAAAGGAGTTGCCAAATGAGGAATGTTATAGGGATTGTAAAAGAGCTGCAGATTAAAAAGAGAGATTATTTATCTGTTCCTCTTTTTCCCCATTAAACTTTAAATACCAAAAGTGACAATGAAACTTTGCAGTGTTTCTAGAAGCTGGAAATCACACAAATATATTAGCGTTTTCCTAGATTGATGTGGTGATGTGGTAGAATTGAAAGGATTGCTAACTCTGCAACATCAAAAGTGACAATGAAACTTTGCAGTGTTTCTAGAAGCTGGAAATCACACAAATATATTAGCATTTTCCTAGATTGATGTGGTGATGTGGTAGAATTGAAAGGATTGCTAACTCTGCAACATCACAGGCAGCTGCATGCATAGGAATAACTTTTAAGAATGAATTAGCTACTTGATTTCCATTTTCACATCATGAAGTTTGAAAGCAATATGAATAATGGAGAACAAATATGCTAGTCACCTCCACCAATGGAATTTTCCTTCTACAGGTGGAAAGGACAGTGCTACTGGGGCCTTTCCTACATGGGGACCAACATCCATTCACGTCAGCTCGCCATCTCCAAAAGAACCGTCAAAGAAACACAGACTGAAAACGCCAGCTCTGAGGTGGAATTCTCTCACCCTTTGTCAGCAGTCATTAGTACAAGTGAAAAGGAGTCTATCAAAGCCGCGTTGTCACGTGTATGTGGAGACCGCATATTCGGGGCAGCTGGGGCTGGTTACAAGAGCCTCTGTGTTGTCCAAGGCCTTGTTGACATTTACATCTTTTCAGAAGACACCACATTCAAGTGGGACTCTTGTGCTGCTCATGCCATCCTGAGGGCCATGGGTGGGGGAATAGCAGACTTGAAAGAATGCTTAGAAAGAAATCCAGAACCAGGGCTTGATTTGCCACAGTTGGTGTACCACGTGGAAAATGAAGGTGCTACTGGGGTCGATCGGTGGGCCAACAAGGGAGGGCTCATTGCCTACCGATCCAGGAAGCAGCTGGAGACATTCCTGAGCCTTCTCCTCCAGAACCTTGCACCTGTGCAGACACAGACATAGATGGACTGACCTCTGTGTACATAGAAACCAAATCGTGAAACTGTTCTCATTATCTCTATCTTTTGAAGATAGCTTTGTCCTATTGATGGTTATCATTTACCTTCCTCTTTTGAGGAGCATTTTCCCATCAGGTGTTCATAATTATGTTAATGTCAATAAATTAATGAGATTCATGCAGCAATTAATTGGGGTATGAAATCCTTTCAGCAAATATTGTGCTGTTAGTGTTTATTGGAACACTTCAATAAAATATTGAAGAAAAGGGAAAAAAATCCTGCTCAATTAGTAAAACTAAACATCTAAATAAGAGAAATGTCACTGAAATATTAGGGAGATTACAGCAGGTGTTTGCTTGGGTTTTGTTTCCTTTCTTGAAAGGAAAATCTGCAGTTTTAGCCAATGGCAGAACATTTAGCACTGTGAATGGAATATTTTAGCCAAGTTCATGTACTTTCAAAAGTATTATAAGAAGTAAAGCCTGGAGCACTGTGGGCTCCCTTTTCACAGAGACAGGGCAAGACAGGACACACAAACACAGATTGAGAGAGACACACACAGAGGGAGACACACTCCATTTCTGTACGTGAGGCAGAAGGGGACGGGGTAAAGAGGTTTCTGCAATTTTTGCATATTTACTACACTTCACCGAAAACCAGAGGTAATCTTCAGATATATACAACCCCATGTCGACTAGCATCCCATATTGAATGTTCTCTGAGGTGGACACAGACCACTTTTTCCACTCTTTAGCAGCCCTGGTAACCAGGTGCCAACTGGAGGGATCAAACGCTCAGCTCTGATTTCTTTCCGCCCTGCGCCCTCTGGGGGCCAAAGGATGTTTCTACAGCATCCTCTGTTTTCCTGAAATTAAAATGAAAATAACACCTTTTTTTTTTGAATGTCCTTACACTTAAAAAGAATTTTCTTTAATTGACAAATAAGAATTGTATGTGTTTATGTTGTGCCACATGTTTTGAAATATGTATACATTGTGGAATGGCTAAGTCAAGCCGATTAACATATTACCTCTTTTTTTTGTGGTGAGAACACTTAAAATGTACTGTTAGGAATTTTCAAGTATACGAGGGTATATCAAAGGTTTGTGGAAAATAGCATTAAATGATAACATGAATCTTTTCATGAACTTTTTGAAGTATCTTTGTACAATACATTGTTATTAACTGCAGTCACCACGTTGTACAGTAGATCACTTGAACTTACTCCTAACTGAAATTTAGCATCCTTTGATCAACTTCTCTCCAACCATACCACCACTCAGCCCTAGTAACCACCCTTCTACTTTCTACTTCCATGAGTTTGACTGTTTTAGATTCTACTTATAAGTGAGATCATGCCGTATTTATCTTTCTATGCCTGGCTTATTTCAGTTAATGTCCTCCAGGTTCATCCATGTTGTGGCAAATGACAGGATTTCCTTCTTTAAGGCTGAATAGTATTCCATCCTACATATAGAGAGAGAGACCACATTTTCCTTATTCAATTATGGGCACTTAGATTGATTCCATATCTTGACTATTGTGAGTAATGCTGCAGTGAACATGGGAGTACAGATATCTATTCAATATGCTGATTTCATTTCCTTAGTCAAAATCTTTTTAATAGTATTTTGTTGCATATAGCAGATTCAGTGATTTATTTAGTGATAGATTTATAGATTTTAAAAGTCTATATTGTGTTTTGTGATTGATTGTGGGCTCTCAAGCTGTATATTCCTATCATAGTCTAGTTTTAAACATTGATTTTAAGTCAAAGTGAGTTCATTCTTCACAAAACACATTAGAAATGAAAATCCAGGAACCCCGCTCCCATATGCACCAGAATGGAGAAATAGAAGATGGTTCAAGAAAAAGCATCTGTTGTCAGTATGAACTTTTTCAGAGTACGTAAATGATCATCTTCCATGTGATGTGAACAGATAGTTTCTCAGTTAACTGGAGGTGGAAAAAGATGGATAGAAGGGGGAATCAAATATATTTTATGAACATCTGTTATATGCATTCATTGTCAGTCTTTACAGGAAAGTCAAGGCCCTTCCTTTAAACATGTTATCTACTGATAGATCTGCATTGTCTTCCTTGCATAAGCCACGTGCAGGTGAGTATGATTTCTAGTTTTAGCTTCTTTAGAGGAAGAACTTAAAATCATTTGTAAAACAATATGAGGACAAAATCATTCTGGATTTTTATAATTTTTCCCTCTGTTTTTACAGTTGTTTCATACTCAACAGTAATTTTTTAAGATTCACTTTTATCAACCCTTACCAAAGCCTTTAATTCTTTGTTTTCAAGATCATGTTCCATTATTTTACATTATATTTAATTAACCAATTGAATTATTGAAAGTAAAATTGCAATATAGAATTTGGAAAAAAGTCAACAAGTCTTGACAACTCATGGGAACAAGAGTTGGGGGTGATGATGGAGGGGTGTTGTAGAGAGAAGCCTCTAGGCCAGGAAGGTCAGTTGTCTTATGCTTCAGTCAGTGTGTTTCACAGGAGAGTAGACAAGAGATTAATCTGCCATGTCACTTAGATGGAGAGGGGTAAAAAGAGAGCTTCAACTGCAGATCAGTTAGAAAAGTCTCTGGAAATTAAAGTCAACATCGATTCCTTTCTTATTCTCACAACCCACATTCAATTGCTCAGGAAACCCTCTTGGCTCCACTTTCAAAACATATCCAGCATTCAACTGTATTAGTCCATTTCTGTTGCTTATAAAAAAAATCTGAAACTGGGTAATTTGTAAAGAAACAATATTTATTGCTTACAGTTTCCAAGGCTGGGAAGTCCAAAGTCCCATAAACACATCTGCTGAGGTGACTCTATAGCAATGCAGGGTGTCACATGGCGGACGGTGTAGCAAGAGAGAGAGCTAACTGCTCACTCCTTCTTTTAAAGCCCTTAGAACCACATCTCTGACTGCCATTAGTAATCCATTCACTTCAGCATGGTCCTCACAATCTAATCGCCCCTTCAAGGCCCCATCTTTCAATTGCCATAATAGGATTTCCCACCCTGTTAACACTGTCACAGTGGGGGGTAGGTTTCTAATACGTGGACTTAGGGGGACACAGTCCAGTCCAAGGCACCAACCATTTGTCATCACTCTCCTACTCCTCACCCTGCTCTAGGTCTTCTTTATGCCTCACCTGGATTATTGCAATAAACTCCTCACTTTCCTTCATACTGTTTATTCTCAACGCAGAAGTCAAAGTGATCCTTTTCAAACATACTTGAAAATCAGATCATGTCTCTGATTGGTTCAAAACCTTTGAAATGATTCCTCAGCTCTTTCAGGGTAAAAGCCAAAGCCCTTACATAGCCTACTGGGCCCACCGTTCACTCTTCCTGCTCCTCCACAGAGTAGGAAGTCCTCTCCACAATGGTGTAAATGTTTGTGTCCCTCGTCTACTAAACTCAAGTAATGAAATCCTAACCTCCAAGGTGATGGTATTGGGGTATCGGAGGGTGGCTCATGAATGGGACTAGTGCCCTTATAAAAGAGGCCTGAGAGAGACCCCGTACCCCTCCCACCATGTCAGGACACAGCAAGAAGGCTGTGAGCCAGAAGACAGGCCCTCAGCAGACACTGAATCTGCCTTGATCTTCAACTTCCCAGCCTCCAGAAGTATGAGAAATAAATTTCTGTTGTTTATAAGCCACCCAGTTTATGTTATTTTGTTATAGCAGGCTGAACAGACTAAGGGGGGGCACTCTCCCCCTTGCTCACTTTGTTCCAGGCTTTTTTGCTGTGCCCTGAACTTTCTTGCCATGCCCTGAACTTGCCAAGCATGCTCCCTCCTCCTCAGACCTTTGCACTTGCCGTTCTCTCGAACTGGAAAGCCTCTCCAGATGTCACATTGTTCCCTCCCTCATCTCTATCAAATCTTGGCTCAAATGTCACTGTACCAGTATGATATTCACTTTTCACTCTATTGTAACCTACACTCCCCCCACCCCATCCTGCACATCCTACGCCTTCCCTGCTTTTCCCTTCATAGCACTTGTTGCCTTACAATACAAGATACGAGATGTTTTGTCTGTCTCTCCCTCTAGAATGTTAGCTCCACAAGGGCAGGGATTTTCATATATCATGTATCTTCATTGCCTAGAAAAATGTCTGGGCACATAGTCAGTGTTAAGTAAGTGTTGACTGAATGAATTGGGCTCAGAAACTGGACAAGAACTAATATGCAGTATCAGCTGCATCTTCTAGCCATTATTTACAAAATATTTCAGAAACCTTTGCTATAATGCTGAGAATTAGTCCTATAGCTAGTCTGTTAAGTTCTCAATGTCAAACAAATATTTTAATGCTTGAAGTAACCTATGGACCCCTGTGTCAGAGAATAAGCAATGGCACACTGCCAAAGCTAATTTTCAAGTCCTGGATATCAGCCCTATTAAGAGTTAAGGGCGCTCAGTTTAGTGTGCTGCTGATAACACCAAGGTCAAGGGTTCAGATCCCCATACTGGCCAGCTGACCAAAAAAAAAAAAAAATTTAAGGGGGAAAAGTAATAGTTAAGTCACTTTTCTTCCATTCATGTTTTTAGGGCAAATATGAGATAATAGGGCAAGAACGAGAGCTTGTAATAGCAAGAATATAAGGGAAACCAGCCATTTCTACCTGTAGCAAAAGTTAAATCCTTCCAACTGAGTTTAAGAATGAGTATCTTGAGATAACAAGGTTGTTTAAACTCATCTATCTTAAGTCAAATATTTTGTTGTTGTTGTTTTTGTTTTTTTAAA